GTTTGTGCTTTGTGTTTTTAGGAAAGTAGGAAGATGAAATTCAAAATAAACCCCAACAGATGGGAATCTCACAGAGACAGACACTGGGAAATGTTTAGACAAGCTTTGTTCCTGGTCCTTGAGCTCAGAATCAAGCCACTAAACTGTAGAGAGACTTCAGAAAGACGATGAAATGCATTTTGGCTTCAAATACAGTTCCTCCAGAATCCAGTGAGAGTTGTGCACATGAATCTGAAGGCAGAGTATAGCCAGCAGCATGGGGAATAGATGTAATGTGAGAAACTCTCATGCAATATTATTATAGTCTGAATTGTTTCCATCATTTTGGGTTAAGTAATTCCTCACTATCCATCTCTAAAGTGCAAACAGTACAGGCTTGATGTGCCCCAGGGAAAGGAAGCAAACCAGCCTTTGAATCTTTACCCAACCTTACTGCTCATATTTTGCTTTCAGTGAATAAGTGTTCAAATCCTTTAATACTTCATTCCCATAAAAATATATTTACCAGGGGTTTTTGTGGCAGCAGTGAGGCTGTGTTTATTATTTTAGGAACACCACATGACTGGCTTTAGAGAAAAGACAAGGCAGGAGCATGGGGTGCTGCAAATCTATCAGAGAACAGCATGTTTTCCACCTGTTGAGGCAGCAACCACAATAACAGATGCACATAATAATTACCCGTAACTCAAAGGCAGCACCAAGTCCTGCACCTTCTGCTCCCCACCTAGCAGACAGCTTGGTAACAGAATTACAAAAGAGGAACACTGAGAGAATAGGTAGTGCTTTGTGAAGAACGAAAAAGCAGCTCTTATTAAAGAGAAACCGGAAGGTGGAAGATGAGAAGGAAAGATCTGAGGCACCATGATGCTAAAAGAAGAGTGGCGCTAAGGAACTCCAGGAGCCTGCCTTATTTTTAGAGTGGCAGTCAGGATTTTGCTAATACCTTTTCCAAAGCTGCTCTCATTTCTACTCTCAACACCAGAGATAATTTCTACTGATAAATAGGTGTCCCACATGACTACTGGAGCCCATTCCTTTCCAGAGATGGATGGTCCTGCAGTGGCAAGAGGGGCACACAAGGTAAAATGGGCCTCAAGTGACACCATGAATGACCATGACCATGTGCCCTGTTCCTATTCCCACCACTGCTGCCTGGCACTGGAATTGTGCTGGAGCTATGTTACCCTTTTGTTTCCAAGTGCCCTGGAGCATCTAGTGTAAGAAGACCAGGGGACAGTACAGGGAGCAGGGATGCACGGCAGGTGAAACATCTTTGTTTTTTCCTGCTTAAGTGCTGAGGCTTGTAAGGCTCTCTTTCTCTCCTTTCTTTAACTACCAAAAGGAAAGTGGTGACATTTGGCTGGGTGAGGACTTGACCTCTGGAGTGATTTGTACCATGGTAGTTCCTTGTTGCACGAAGGAACAGATACTTCCTGGCAGGGATTTATTGGGGAAATGATCTCAGGCCCCATTTAATCTTGACAGAAGAAGATGATGAGAAGACTATGTGCTGAGTTGGAGTTTTCCTTTGAATTCCTATGGTGTTGAAGGCAGCACTATAAATAGACACAGTATCCTTTTTACCCTGGTACAATTTTGTCTCCAGCTCCCCATACAGACAGCAAGTCTGCTGGTAGGTATTTAGAAGGAATTAATTTAACCCAGTCTTCTCTTTCTGTGCTCTTTTACTCCAAGCATCAGAATGGCTTCCATAGCCATACAAACATATTTCCTCAATAAAAATATTCTGAGGAAGACTGCTGATATTAAAAATCCCATTTCTGTCTGAAAATTCTATTCTAGTTATAAATAATCCATAAATGCCCCAAACTATAAATAGTTGGTATTAAAAAAAATCTCACTCCCCTCTCAAACTTCTTACTTTTTCATTTTGTTTCTCCCAGGTTTTGGTTTTGAACTGCACAGCATTTTATTCATAGTCTGTTTCACATTTTCTCCAGTGTCTGGAGACAATGTGGACAGACTCCCCCTTCCCAGGATCAACTTGTGAACATCAGCTGAGAAGAAGTAAACCCAGATACAGTGTTTCGTGGCTATTATCTTAAAGATAGATCTGTAAGCAATTTGAATACAAGCTAGATTGGTATTTTAAAAAACAACCCATTGAATTTAAGCATCGTTTTTAGCGACAGATCCTCAGCCTGTGATCCTGCTGGAGAGCAAACTAAAAATTTCACAAATATTAGAGTTCCTGAGTACAAGGGCAGAGACGCTGTTCTGGCCTGCCTTTGCCGTGGTCTCGCTGCTGGTGGAACTGGCAGTGGTTGTGTTCACGCTGCTCGGTGCAGGTACTGAGTTCACTGGGGGTTGGTTTGTAAACAAGCGTAAAGGTACTTGCCTGGTAGCCGAAGCTCCCGCGCTGCGGTGTCTTGGATTACCTTTGTTTGAGTAATGCTAGTCCAGTTTCCTCCTAACGTGCCACTTGCACAACAAATTTCTAGCCTCTCCGGGTGTTCAGTTTATTGAAGGCCTATTTTTAATTCTGTTAATTATAACCAGTACTCCCCTACCCTCTCTAGACCTGCAGGCACCAGCCGGAGCGCGGCAGCTGGCAGGCGGCGGGGGCAGAGTTTTGGAGGGGGCTGGTGGCCGGGCGGTGCCAGCGGCTGTGACCCGGCCGGGCGGTACCGGGACCGGGGCTGCCCTCTGCCCCGACACGGGGCTTTGCCACGGGCGCTCCTTGCGGGGCAGCTGCGGTTCAGCCCCGCTGTGAGCAATGGGGGGTGTCTGGGCTTGGCCCCCCTCCGTGGTGGGGCAGCCGTGTCCGTCCCCGCGGACGGGCTGTGCCCCAGCCCGCCGGCCGGCGCGGGGCGAGACGGGGCGGGCGCGCTCCCGAGCGCAGCCCCCGCACCGGCTGCTCCGCGCCCCTCGGGGCTCGACCTGCATTCGGAACAGAACGGCCGGCGCGGGGCTGAGGCCCAGGGCCGGGAGGGCAGCGCCCGCCGCTCGGCACGACCCCGCCGGGACTCCGCCGGGACCCTCCCGAGCCGGTGTGGGTGCGGGTGTGGATCCCGGGTGAGGATCCCGGGTGAGGATCCCGAGTGAGGATCCCGGGTGAGGATCCCGGGTGTGATCCCGGTGCGGGTCCGACCGAGGGCGCCGCCCGCGCCGGGCCGACGGCGCCACCTGGCGGCGGCGCGCGGTGCTGCGGGCGGAGGGCCCGGGATGGGATGCGGGATATGCGCCTTGGGGAGGAAACCCGCGCGCGCGACATCGCGGCCTGAGAAGTTACGTTCTCTGTGTTTATCCGAGTAAGCTGCGGGTTTCCAGTTGTACCCACTGGTATTTTAAAAACGCGGTATCCTGTGAAATGCGTTTATTGTGCCGGTGCTCTCGTACCCCCAGCGAGAGCATCCTCAGCTCTGCCCTGTGCTCTACAGCCGAAAATGGCTGGCTGGCCTCGTTCCTGCTGTCTATATAGGGAAGCATAAGACAATGTAGTTCTTGTGCTTGAGGCTGGGGGCATCTCTACAGCCACTTGTTTTGTAAGTTTAAATCACTTCGTTAGATTTTATTGGTAATGGAAACATACCTGTTCTGATTTGGGTCTGAAACATACTTTTAATTTGGCTCTTCCTGCTTGCTGTGGTTTTGTTGACTTTGCAGAGCAGCCCCAGAGCTCATGAACAGGTTTCTTCACACAGGGAACTAAAGCAAAGAAGTGCTCCAGCACTGCTCTGCTGCTGCTCAGGGATGTCCAGCCCACAGGGTTAGTCCAAAGCAAAACCCCCTGAGATACCCTTGCTGTGAGGGTCAGGTCCTCAGTGCCAAATGTTCTGCTTTGTGCTCTGACTCATATAGTCTGTCCCACAGAGTAGATGTAGATATTGCCGAAGAGTGTTATAAAAGGTGCTGACTTGTCTCTTCTGAAGGCAGAAATCAACCTTGCAGACAACACTGGAAACGTCAAGGAATGTTTTCCCTTGTTGCTGTGCTAGTTTTGAGTAGCCAGCTCATATGGTGGGGAGTATTCATGCCTCTGCATTCTGAAGTTTGGTACTAGGAATACAAACTGCCATGCCCGAGCTGGCTTTGTGCTGCAAATGCTTGTCCTCTGGGAACCAAAAGCCAGATGTGCTTCACATAGTTTCCAGGCAGCACTGATCCATCAGATGACAGTAGCTATTGAGTGCTCTTATGGTGGCCCAGAGACACAAAGATGAAAGCCTGATGCCTGTCAACACCTCCCTTGCCATTCCTGTGTGTCTTCAGTTTTCACTTGAGTCCACCTCACAAAAGGAAATGCCACAGAATATGATGTTGCAATGTTAATAACCTTTTATTTTTGAGCAAGAAAATCCCAAGTTTTGTAATTTTCAACTGTCATACAAATCTGGGATATGTTGAACTTTGGACCCAATCCCACTGCCCATGCAGCTGGTTGGACCCTCAGCTGGAAGCCCACCTTCTTCTTCAGAAGCATTTTCTGCAGCATTCCTGGATGATTTTTGCTATGGAAGATGAAAAATATTTGAATGTCCTCTCAAAGAAACGTATTTTTGTGGAGAAAAAAAACTCTGATGAATAGCCAAAGGGAAAACACTATAGAGAGACCTGGAATAATTCCTTAGAGTGGCTTGTGTTGTTTCACAGCTGTGTTGCCTTTAAAAAGCCTCTTACCCCAACTCAGGAGCTCCACCTATTGTAAAATCAAGAACTAACCAGTGCCAGATTCAAGTCTCAAAATACAAACCCTTTGAGATACGGAGAGCAAAGGGATGGGGGCTGGTTCATAAGAAAATTTCTAAGCATTACTGTAGCATAAATAATATGGCATCTTTCACCTCAAATAGCCTAACACTTCATAAAGTGATATGAGCTTCGCTAGTTGCTAAAAACACAGCTATTTCTGAAGTGGAACCTGATATCTTTCTTTCTTTTTTTTTTTTTTTCTTTTTTAACCAGTAGAGAGCAATGTTTTAAGGTGGAGAGTGAAGGAGAGAGTATACAATCAATCATAAGTATAAACCTAGGAGGGCTTTGCAAAATGGAAAGATCAGGCAAAATCTACTTTTATTAATAACATGCGTTCTGGTGTCTCATAATCTTGTGTCCTTAGTTTATAAATGTGGTTCATCTATAAGAGATACAGGCAACTCAAGTGAGATTTTGTCCTCTCTCTTTCAGCAATACTCTCTTACAGCTCTTTGGGAGCAGATGCTCTGGTTCCTTTCTTCTCTTCATTCAGTTTAATGTCCAAGTCCCGGAGCTGGCTGAGGAACCCTGAATTTGGGCAGATGTCTCTGTGAGCACCCACCGTCTTCAGAGCATCCACGAGTGTCATGTTTTCATGGATCATTAAAAAGGCAAGCACTAAAGTCGCTGAGCGGCTCACTCCCATGGCACAATGAACAAACACCTTACCTGCAGAAAAAAAGAGGTACAGCAAAGTGAGTGTGCTTTAGCATTTCTAAAGTGAAAAAGACACAGGGAGGAGAAAAAATACTAGAAACAAGTTGAGAAAATAATGGGGACAATTAGTGAACCCTCATGTTTTCAGAAAGATTATGCTATACCTCTCAGGCAAGGTGGTGTTTTATACTGATCTCCTGGACCTAATTTAGGCCTCAGATTAAAATAGTTGAAATTTTCTGCGGCAGGAGAAGCTTTCTGTGACTAAACTTGTTAGTATAGTTTTCTGTGGAAAAAAATGAGCTCTGGCAGAAAAATTTGGCCCAGCCCTGACTGTGATCACTGGCAAGTCCCATAAACTCTGTGGGATAGTCTGCCTGTAGAAAAGGAGTAGTAATTTACTGTATCTCAGCAGCCCAGTGTGAGCTATAACTGGGGATTTAATAAAGCACTCCAGTGAAAGCAGCAGATCCTGCAGCCAGTCAGAGTCAGAGCAAACTCTGGAACAAATGGAAATTATGATAACTAGGCCATAATCCAAACTCTGCTGACAAAAATTCAGCAGGCTGTGGGTCAGGCTTGTAGTTTTTGACTTAGTTCATTAACTTCTGCTGCTTCTCTAGCTTAATAGACAGCCTGAATAAAGCTCCAATTCTGTGAAGTACTTAAGCATGTGAAGCATTCGAGCCAGCACTGAAGTGACACTGCTCCCAGCTGAGTGCATCGGGACCAGGAGCAGCACGCAGAGCAGGACTGTCTGTCTAGAGCCCATGCCAGTGTGCAAGGGGCGGGAGGTGTGTGTGGAAGCACACAGATCATGCCAGTTCTTACAGCATGGGCCCAGGGGAGAGTATCTGCAGTGCCATAACCTCTGCACTCTGGTATTAGAGCTTGCCCGTCCTCCTGCCACCCTGGGCTGCAGGCAGCCAGTCTTCCCCAGCTCCTGGGAACCTGGCCATGGCCACCTTCCCTGCAGCACATGGTATAGGCACCCTTCTCCATCCTCTCCTCAGTGGTTCTGCATATGCCACCTCAAACCTTATTCTGATTCTGAGCTCTGTTGGTGTCTGTTACTGCAAGGAGAAGTCATTTGGCTTGTGTTGAAACTTCCTCCCAGAGCTTATCTTTGCTTCCCTCTTACCTCCTGAAGAGTTTAAGGCCTGGCCTATGAAATTGGCAGCATCATAGAAGAAGATACTTAAATCGAAGGAAGGATCATCAAATGCTTCTACTCCATAGTACTCTATTTGCAGATCTTCATAATATTTGGCTCCTGTGTTGATGCTATATGGTCCATCTGCTGCATTAAGGATATGAGTAATGTTGAGGCTTTGAAGAGTAGTTTTGCTCCTGGCAGCCCACCTGTTGAAAGACATGAAGGGCACATTGGCAACGCTCCCAACATTCTGCTAAAATAGCACGGTTTAAAGTTAGTGCCTGCTCCTACTAAGAAAGGATGCAGGAACTGCATCTTGCCTACAGAGGAGAAAATTTTGAGAAGCACATAGTACTTTGTGCAGGAAAAATGTGATATGGGGGTGTGGAGAGCAGCAGGAGCACAGACTTGCCAGTGGGATACTGTCAGTTAAGCAAATGCCTCCTAGCGGTTAATCCCTGGGAACATGGCTATAAAGTGGTCAAGATTTTCCTTTAAATATTTGTTTAGCAAATTTTAGAGCTAATCTCTCATTGATAGGTTGCCTGGGTCTCAAGGGTAAGAACTCATACAAATGCAGCAACACCTTGTTCCTGATTTGAACATGAAGCGGATGCATTGTATTCACCAGCTAGGTTTTCCCCCCTTCCCACAATAAAGGGGGACTAAATGCATTCTACAAAACTCTGAACCTTAACTGATATATTCATGAGGAGGAGGAGCTGGGCAAAACAAGCCAATGATCTGTGTAATCTGCTGTAATCCAATTGGAAGGAAATAGCAATAAATATTACTGGTCACAAGAGTAAGGTGTTTGCACAAAAATACCGGATTGATATTTTCAGTTTTGCCATCTTTGAAAGAAACTTCTGATTTCAAATGTCAAAATCCCTATTGTATAATTCATTTAGGTCCTCTTCTTTCTGGCTCTTGATCCTGCCACCTCTATTTGAGTGTGAGGGCTACTATGCTCTTGTCTGCTGCCTTAGAGCACAGTTTTCAGGACAAATAATGCATCTCAGAATTTACACCAATTTGGTATAAGTTCTTTGAGGACTTTTGTCTAGAATACAAATATTTCTTACCCTGCCAAATCCATGGTGGCTCACAGAATATAAAAAACACAAGTCAGACACAGTAAGTCACCATTTTGCATGCCATGTTTTTCTTGACATCCAGACTCCTTGTGTCATCAGCTTTGGATGTCTGTATTGTAAAAACATTCCTGTAGACCCAAAAGCTGCTCCTCAGTGTATCACACCCATTCCTCCTCCTCCTCCCAGGGACTGATAACAGCTTAACAATAGGACTATATGTTCTTACGCATCTCCCAGGTAGATATTGGGCCAGACTTGGTCCACATGATTATCAGACCCTCCTCTGAACCACAGAAGCCGCTGGAGGTCTGATAGTGCTGGTGTTTCATAGGAATCATTGCTAGTCAGAGATGAAGAGTCTTTGGTGTGAGGCATCTTGCTGCTCTTTTGCACGCACTCAGGCTGTATCAGAGATAGCTTTTCTGAAATGAATTAAGAGGAAATTTTCATACAGATATAGCATTCCCTAGAAAGTAGTCCTGTTCATTACCCTCCAAATAGCATTACATTATTATAACCAGTGTGTGCAGCAGGGCCTGCAGGTGTTGCTAAAAACATCCAGAGAGCAGGAGTGACTCTGTGGTAGGACTCTATAGGCATGTAAATCCTCCCCTGAGAAAGCAGCATAAGACAATGTGATTTAATTTCTTGTCAAGTACTGATGTTGGAAAAGAACATCCTGCGCCACCTGAATGCAGCACTGGCTGAACCATGTAGGTGCAGATGTTATTTCAGTTACTGATGAGGGTATACAGAAAACCATCAGCTCTTTTTGTTGAAGAGTTACCAAGTGTTTGTGCACACTTGATTCTGATTAATTAAAACTGGAAGTTTTTGAAAGAATACATAATTGGGCTGACTTATACTTAAAATGCTTCTAGGGCCAAGGTGGAAGTCTTAGGATGTGTGTATGAGTGACATTTGTATAATGCATGTGTATACACATATGAAATATATGTGCACACAGTTTCCTTTCACTTATAGGGATGTATTTAAACACACATATACATGAACATCTATAGGTATGAACGGATTTTCACGTGTGTATATAAACATAGATATGTCTGTATGTACAGAAATAGAAATTGAGAGAATTTGAACTAGTTTTTTCTCTCTCTCAGTTGAATACCCCTGAACACTTAGCTATACTGGTATTCTTGTGCCTATCTCTCTCTGTCTCTCCTCTGGGAGCTGTTCCACTTTGTATAAATAATGTGATAGGTACTTGCCTCCAGAGAGAGGCCATTTCTCTCATCTGAGGGGTGAGGTACTTACCTGGGATGTGAGAAAAGACAGCACCTGAATTTTTTTAAATTATAGAGCTGAAATTCTGGTGTTGTTGTCCTGTTGAGAATCCCATCTAGGGCTTCCTTCCCCAGATCTGTGAGGGATCCGAGAGATCACAGATCTATGATGCCTCACAGATCACACCATGGAATTTGGGCATCCCTTTTGCAATGCTGTTTGCTGGTTTAGACCCAGGAAGCTCAGGCCAACCGGTTCAGCGGAAAGCAGAGCTCAGTCAAGAGAAGAGTGCGAAGATATCCAAGCAGTCCCTTCTTGAGACTTTAGGAGCATTTCTCCTACCAGGATCTCATTGTCCTGAGTTGCTTTTCTTGCCCCCAGAAAATATTGATGAGCCTTGTTTGGCTGCCTGTCGGTATTAGAGTCATAATCAATGTGAAAGCCACACTAGAACTCTTCCCAAAGTAGAGTAGATGGTGTTTATTCTCATGTGGTTTCAGTTTTGCCTAAATCTAGAGTTTGGGTTTGTTTTCTTAGCAATTCTAGAAAACAAGAGCAGATGGGACCTTCAGAAATCATCTAGTCTGTCCTCTGCCCCCACAGCAGCAGCCAGATGGGTGTTGCTTCTAAAACAACAACAACTTTGTCCAACATCCAGGTATGTTATTTTCAACAATGTAGGGTGATTTGGGGAATAAGCAGAAAACAAGGGAGAATATCTTTTTGCTTCTGGATAAAGAAGTAGAGATGATGTGAAGCACATTATGGAACACATTACATATATTTCTGTGACCTCAGCCTAAATTTTCTTCCCTTGCCCCTTTCTCCCTCCTCCTCCCCACCAATGTTAAGCGCAGTGATAGCTTTTTGTATGTTCCAATAAAAAAGAAGTCTCCCTAGGGTAACTGCTTAATAAGTAAAATATGAAAAGCACAGTAAAAATCATGGGAGAGATAGGAAAAAAAGTGACTGGTTTTACTTTTAATGATGGAGGAAAAGAACTGCAGGGAAGTAGAGAGGAATATAGAGATAAAAGCCTACAAATTTTTCAGGGCAGAAAATGTAGCACCAAGAGCTTTGATAAAGGAAAATGTTGTGCAATCCTTGCAGAGATTAACATAAAGAATAGCACAGAAACAGATATTGTGCACTGCCCTACAAGTTTTACTGCCTTGTGAAAGTCATGCACTGTGCTCAAGAGCTACTGCCAGCATCTTCATGATGACCTGTTTGTACTTTCATCGGCACAGAACGTTAAGCTGAAGCAGTAAAAGAAATCAAGAAAAAGATAATACAGCTTCTACATCAGGAGATTCATAAGATCACAGGCTAATTTTCAAGGAGTGTGGCTGAGTCGCTGCAGATGCTTAAGGGCTGAAGTTGTGGAGGTAAGCAGATAGATATCAAACTTTCAGTTCTCCTAGCCCCTGCTGCTTTAAACTTCTGTTGTAGCCTGTCACCTAGTTACAGTAATGGAGATGATGAGCAGAGAGAATTAGATCGTGAGGCCTCTTGTCCAAGACCTGACTTTGAAGAAATTCTCCAAGAATTGAATTATTTTGGTGCCAGTGACACTTTGGAGGTGACTCCAGCCTTTGCAGCCAGGTAGGTGCTTTGCAACAGAGCTCCCTTTCATACAGCAATCTGCTTTTCAAAAAGCACATCAACATCATTTTATTCACATGACTAATGCCAAACAAGTGAGCTCCTCATGTCAACACGAACATAGCTCCTCCCAAGAATGCTCCCTCCTGCGCTGCACTGGCCTTGAAATTGAATTGCTCTACAGGGCCTTCAGGGTAAGCTTGGAAATAGCTATAGCAGATGATTGGACTAATGAGGAAAGCAATATGAATTTTTTAATTGAAGGCCAGGGACTTTGCTGAGTTTCCTCCCTCCCCCTACTTTAAGATACTGCAGAGCTAGCAAAAGTGCTGCCACTGATGACATTTCTCTAAGCTTCTCCCTCTGGGTGGCTCCCAGAAGCTGTTTCAGTTGGAAACAGCTAGTGACTGCAGGAGGGCAGGAGTCCCTGCACCTGGGGAAAAAAATTTTCTATCTTACAAAGTCACTAACATTTTCTCCAGAGATCTAGACCATGCAAGTAGGATAGGATTACTTTTCTTTTAAATTGTAGCCTGGAAGTACATAAAGACCATCTCATTAGATTCTTTCTTTCTCTCTTTTTTTTTTTTTTTCTGGTTAAAAAATAAAAGAACAGAAACAAAAAAAAGTGCTTCTACCTATGGGAGACTTTTGAGGCTGGATAGGATTTTTAAGGGCAATACAGAGAATCCAAAGCAGCACAAGCTTTAAAATTGTCTTGTCATTATGCAACGGTTCCCAAACACCTGGAGCACTGGGGTGCACCCCACATGGCCAGGGTCTGCTTGGTTCCATGTCTGAGCTGTGGAGCCTGGATTTCCCCAGTGGTCCAAGAGCTGCCCTTGAGGCCCAGGCTGAAGGTGGTCGTGGGATGGAATTGCCTGGCTGCAGGCAGCACCCAGAAAGGGCTGTGGGTGACTCCAGGCTGTTTGAATGCAGCTGGGTGCAGCTCCTGAGGGACCCAGTCAGGCCAGAACTTGTCCACCACAACCTAGTTAGTATCTCCCCAGTATTGTTTAGCCACTTAAGTACTACAGTCTGCTAAGCTTTTTGTTTGGGGTTTTTTGTTTGTTTGTTTGCTTGTTTGTTTTTTTTTTTTCTTTCCTTCTCTATGGTGGAAACAATTGCCATTTTCTATTGAAGATTTTTCTGGCAAAGGAAGGAAAAAAACCCACACAAACCCCCACTGACTGGAATTGGCTAAAGCATTTAACAGATTTGTGTTGCATTTGCAGATTCCAGTGAAAGAAAATTCTGCAAAGTTCGGGAGAAAGAAGCAATATTGTAGATTTGAAATAGTTAATTTCGTTACTTTCAAAAAAATTACCATTTTCATTTTTCTATTCAGAGTTACTTTGTTTTGGAATTTGTTTTGCTGCATTGCATAAAATCTTTTAAAAAATTAAAACAAGATGAAATGGCTTGTTCCTGGTTGAGAAATAAACTAAAATTGAACACAGATTGAGTGGCCACCTATTTGCTTAGCCCTAATTTTCACTTTGTAACAGGGGAAAGCCTCCTGCCATTTTGCCATGGTTGTTACCTTGTCTCTTTGAGAGTGAACTGAGCTGTAGAGAGATGAGACGAATGTCTGGAGTCTCAGGAGGAGTATGGTAGGGCATTAGTTGGACTACAAGCATCCCTCTTTCCCTTTTGCTAGCACCTCCCTAACTGGCACAGCTCTGCCTGTGGTTATGTTCATAGCCCGGATGGGGACAGGTGTCTTTCTATAACAAGGCCTTACATGAGATTATTAAGAGCCTAAGGCACAGCAGGGCCTGTGGTTACTACAACAGCATGAACACTACCTAACAATAGCATGATACAGAAAGCTCCTGCAACCAAATATTCTAAATTCCCTAAATCAAAAACCTGACAAACTAAATGGTTCAAAATTCCAAAGCATGAGGTCAGAATATAATTCATGTGAAAGGAAAAAAAAAGACAGCCTCTTGATGCATTTGAAATTGCTGTCTACTCTGTTTTTTCTTCTCTCTTCTCTCAGCAAGCATCTCCGCACTCATCTTTTACACTCCTTGCTCTTTTCTCTCAGGTAGTGCTTTACACTATGGCTCTTTGTCCTCCTGATGGAAAAATCCAGATGGAAAGAAGTGTAGTTCACGAGGAAATGATCATGTAAGTGGAATTAATCTTTCAGATACTGTAATGTGAAATATGATCTTCCTTTTTGTTAAGAAGACCCAGTCTGTGTATCTACACTTTGGTCAGAATCTGATGCTAAGAGAACCCAGAAGTCTCTTGAGGTAGAGCTGAAAGCTTCTTTGCAGAAACAGGCACATTTAAAAGCAATAGCAAAGTTAAACCAGCCAGATGGGAACCTAGCAGGCAACCGAGAGGGGAACTCTCTGTTTTCCTTGCAAGCCTACAGGGGCTTGTTTGCAGGAATTAGAATCTCTCACCAGCAGTTCACTGCCGCTCTAATACCAAGTGGTATTGAAAATGAGAAGCAGGTTATGGCTGATGGTTTAAATGAGGCACCTATGGGAATTTAGAAATGAGATCCTGGACTTGTCTCAGTGTAGGCCGTGCACATGGCAGAGCAATATTGCTT